TTTTTTTTTTCATAAATTATTTTTAATATTAAAAAATTAATCAATAATTGTGTAGACTTTTTCTGCAACTATTTTTATTCATTTTTTTATTTTATCTCATAAAATACATTAGAATGAAACACAGCGCTAAAAATATTTTCTAATTTCTTTATAAATATTATCTCGCACTTTCAAACGACCGTCTTCAGTCATTACAGGGGCTGAAACTGTTTTCCTATATTGTTCAATGTCAATATATCCGTGGGAATCCATTGGTTGTGGTCGTAAAGCATTGGAGTCTTGGTCCAGGATATACCATTGACACGAAACTCCAATTTGCTTCTTATTTCCTCTGATTCGTGCATATGTCCCTGAAAATTCCCTACTTCTCAACGTTTTCCCCCCGTGATGATTTCCATAGAAACATTTTAAATCAACATTTTCATCTAAGTACTGGGCCATCTCCTCTGCTGCGAATTTCTCAAGATCTCCCATAATTTTATCATCAAGCTGCCCAAAGGAAAGTGCATTGTCGAAATGATTGAATTGTAAAATGTTTTTGAGGTATGTTGGCAGTTTCACTGCTTTTTCTCTCCAGTAATCTCCAAAAATGCTGAGATTCGTCCTCTTCCATTGTTGTAAACGTGAACTATGAATTAAAAGAAAAAAATATCAACTTTCACCGCATGTGGAAAAACAAAAAAAACGGTACAATAAAAATTATGTTTCACGCACGTTGACGTTTCATGCATGTGGAGGTTATGTTGATTTACCGGTGGTTATTTTCACTGTTGTATCGTGTGTATTGATGACAGCAAACACTTACCAGCAGATAATTAAATACAATGGTGTCGATGAATACTCGTAGTCGCGGAAATTGTCGTATTTCTTTTAATTGGAACTCTCGTGAAATAATATTCGACTAATAAACACTTTCTGATCGACGAACGAGAATAAACATGTAAAATACCAAAGCAATGCGCCTGCGCACTGCGCATAAATTAAAGTTACATCAGGCATGTCTGATAAGGGAAATTCCGGAGTCTTTCAGCCTGTTTTGATTGAACACGAATGCTTGTTGATTATAACGGATACGGTCAACTCGATCCGGCCATGATCAGAACCAGGTAAGGTATGCCGGGAATCCTTTTAACTTCGAAAATTCTATAAGTTCAATATGGCGAACCTGATCCGGCAATGATCAGGTCCGGATAAGGCATGCCGTACGGGACTTGGAAAAATTTTCACCAAACAAAGAGTCGGGGTGGAAATGGTAAAGGGGGGTGGGTCGGAGGGATGACGATCAGGAAAATTATCCTAATTGATATTAAACTAGATTTAGTTCAATACTACAATTTTATTGGGAGTATCATTGATATACTCAAAACAAGCGATGATTTTCAATAATGATACGGTGGTCAAGTGGATAGGCTACAGAACTACTACGCGGAGGGTCCCGAGTTCAAGTAGTCCCACTCTGGGTGATTTTTTTGCTTTTTTTTCTCGACCCGCCTATTCTGGGATCACTATTTATTTATTTATTTATTATTCATTTTCGGCCCAATTTAATAATTCAGTTAGCAATTCATTAATTTGTAGCAAAGTCTATGCCAGGTAAGGGCGAAACCAGGCCGCCTGTCACAGCCCTTATCAGGTTTAGAAATCAGGTCCTGATCATGCTTTGCGTTACATTTCCTATCAGGCCCTGATGTGGTAACCGTAACAGGGCCGGATTTTTTACGGCACAGTGGACCAGGACCTAACCAGCCAAGCACTGAAATTTCTACTAAGGTTGAGGCCAATTTTGAAAAAACAAAAATGGGCTAAAACTAGCAATTTTCAAAAAATCATAACTCTCTCAATTATCCATATTTTTCAATTTTTCTTTTTTCAGCATTTTTGTCTAATCGTCATCTTCTCAGAAAAAAATTGAGAGGAAAGTTCCCACCATTAACTTTTTTCTGTTCTGCTGATTAGGCGTGATCTGCTCATATACTGAATGTATAAAAAAAATGATTAGTAGACGATATTAGTGGATAGCACTTTTTACCTCAAGAAAATTAAAAGTGCCGATTTGTTTTTGTATACTATCAGGGATCAGATTTTGCAACGACTTTCACACGATTATCAGCCAAGTTTTTTACCACTTAGTTTGCGTGATCCCGTGCACCGATGCTCCTTTGATAAGTGACAAGGGAAAAAAAGAAATATTCTTCTTTTTAAGTTGGTTTCAATGCATCGTCGGGCGCCGTAAAATTACTTCTCATCCCACCGAGACAACGGTTTTCTACATGGCAAAACCCTTCGACGACTCTCACTTTACACAGAATCTCAATGCTTGATTCATAATTTTTACAGGAACATGGAGATAACTTAATGATTTTTTGTTATTTATCTGGCAAACAATTATTTGTGATTCCTATCGTTCTTTTTTTTTCAAATTGTCTAACATTTTTCATTCTGGCACTTGAAAGCCCAATTATTCCCCATTATTTTGTAATCTCAATTTCCATACAATCAACTCAGTGTTGGCTTACTCCATTCTCATTATCTATGGTCATCAACCTGAAGTTTCACGTATTAAAACGAGAACGGGTACATCGCCCTAATCTTAGTTTTACACTTTCAACGAGTTTATTTTCTACTTTTCTTTTGTCGGAAATAGTAATAGTCCACATAAAATGAGTGTTGAATTCCGTCAGTTACCATTTGTTCCAAATGTAAATAATTTATTTAATAAGTGGTAAAAGAACTTGCTTATCACTCAGAAAAAATGGAACAAACAATGAATTATTATAAATTTTTGGGAATGAATCATATTTCAGAGTAAAGTGCAAAAACATAACAAGTCAATACACCCAGAGAACTGTTTATTTGCATTCAATAAACTTCATACAAATCATATCAGCTTATTGAACTAACTCGTAATAAAGCTTTTATTGAAACTTAAACTTTCTTTGTATATATTTTTATTTGCATTAAATAAAATTTCTCTAAATCAATTTTTTAAAATTTCTTTAAATATCAAGAGATATTTTCTGGATCCCAATAAAGATTTTTTTGCCATAGTTGCCTGAAAAGTTCAGATTTCGAGGCGATTTAACGGGCGCAAAGTGATCGTTTTCCGCACAAAGTAAATTTTCGTGCGTGAAGCTTCGTTTTTTTTTGTAAATTGAACTCGGCAGATGTTACAAAAAATAGTGTGTGTTACGCGTGAGTATGATAAAGTGACACTTTACGTACTAGTAACACAATATATTATTGGACGGTGAAGAGAATAAATTTATCGATATAAAGTAACCTTTGATTTAGATTAAATAGGGTTGTTTTTTTATTCAAATGTGTCTTTCTCTGAGTGTATTTTCCGAATGTTGATAAAAATTGAATCCCGTCGATATTGAGTGACCTTACACTAAGAAAAAAAATTATTTTTGGCAAAAATCCATTTACTTGACAGAAGTATTTACTTTTTCTATCTTGTATTTCTCCAGTCGAGTCATTCATCGGAGTTGGGAGACTATTGTTTGAAAAAATAATTGAAGAAAGAATTTGATGGATCAATCTCTTCCCCTCATCAAAGTTAGAATTCAT